CCTAGCACTACCGCACACGGCGACTAGACGATAGATCCATAAATCATATCTGATAAACCGTGCAATATGTGTGCAACATGCCAAATAAGTGAATTTACCGAAAAAGGGCAGATGAGACAGCTCACCTATCCTCCTTTTCATAAATTCACCAACGCGATCAAATACGTATATCAAATATCATAAACCGTGAAGTCTCCCACATGCATACGCACACATATATATATAAATATATACATGCAACAAAATGATTCACATAATATCACGTTAACATATTAATCAAAATCGCATGCAACATGCATACCTAATTTCTTAAAATTAGATTTAATTCCCTACTGCTTACCTCTTGTCGACACTCCCTAACTTTCGCAATTTCACCCAAATCTTTTCTAACGTACACCTGTTCCATTATTTACTCAATTCAGCTGAGCTATATGCTTATTCATAGGAGCTACATGCTTATTCAAAAGCTAATTTCTATAGTTAGCTCGTTGGGTTTCAAACTTTTATATTTAGTAGAATACGATATTATAGCTATAAAACTCTTATACCTCCTACTATTTATATCGCCCGATTATTAAATAAAAATACTTAAAGATATGAATAAACAGGCAGGTGCAATACACTTCCGTTTTCAATTCGGCTCGGATCGATACGAAATTCTCAGAATATAATACTAGGACTACGAATAGGCTATTAGCTAAAGAAATTCGTCGATTAAATAGCCAAATAGCCGGTTATGAATTTTTGAAGAATTTCTAATTTAATATTCCCAATATCGAAATTCATATTAAAATCCATAATTAAATTCTACGTATAACAAGGAATACAATACCGAAGTCGAAATCGAAATCGGACAGCTGAATCTTTTTCTTCCTTCTTTTCTTCTCATTTCTTCTTCTCCTTCGCGTTTCGCTTCCTTCGCTTCTCAGGTAAGGTTTGTTATATATATATAATTATATTATTATTATATATATTATATCATATTATATTATTATTATTAACGTTATTATTATTATTATTATTATAAATATTATTTTCATCATCATTACCTTTATTATTATTATATTATTATTATATATATTATATTTTATATTTATCTTTATGGATATTTATCCATTTAACAATCTTTTCAATCATAATCAATATGTAAAATAGGAATAAAATTTATTCTAGAGTATTAATTTCTTGATTTCAAAATATTATAAAAATATTTATTTGCTATAATAATATTATTTTATACACTCCAAAATCGGGGTATTACACTTATAATATGCATGCACTAAATTAGAATATTACTTGATACATGTTAAGATGAAAGTAATTTGTAAGATAGATATTTTGTGGTATTTGTTGAGCTGGTCGTTCCTCCGAGGTTTCTTGGTCAAATTGGCAATGAAGTTAACTTCATTCATGCTAACGTATTAGTCCATGAAAGCCATGAGAGGGAAGACTATTGCAAATTTTCTGGCGGAGCATCTGACGATGGTCCAGGCCACCCCTATAGAGTATGTTTAGCTGGAACCATGGCCCCAGGCACAGTGAGTGTGCCATATAATAGGTGACTATTTTGCACGGTTCGGGAATTACTTTCAATGCTTTCTGCACACCAGAGGAGTAGCAAAAGTTGAGGTTGTGATAATCAGCCCTAGAAGGGAAGTGTGGCTCTTTACCCACCAGCTCCCACAAAGGATCACTAACAATAAAGCTTAATACAAGGATCTTTTAGGGCCCTTATCTCTAAGAATTCTAGAAAAATGTTGATTTTCAGAGATTCTCAACTCATTAGCCGTCAAGCCTTGTAAGAATTTAAATATGAGGAACTCCCACTTCAAAGCCTACTTCAAGAGGTCCATGAGCTCCTTCAACAGCTTACCGAGGTGACTTTGGACGATATCCCTAGTGAAGAAAATTCGAAGGCAAATGATCTCGCGCAATAGACATCCAAGTTCAAAAAGAAATAGCCTGTCCAGGAGTATGAATATCTACAGGCTGTAAAAGAAGTAGACTGGCAAATGGAGTTCCTCGAAGATTTGGATTATCCGGGATGGGTTGGTTCAAATCATAAGCGTGAGCAGCTACTCAAATATATGACTACAGAGGAGAGCTTTACCATCGAAGACGAGATATAATGCTGGCCCAATATTTGGGAAAATATGATATCATGAAAAAAAAAGTACATAAGGGCATCGGATGTGCCAACTAAGAATGGAAAAATTTACCGAACATACCGAAATACTGACTTGTCGTATCGTACCATATAAAAAATATCAAAAAGTTTCGGAAAATATCGTATCGTACCATATAAAATTTTGGTATATCGAAATTTCGGTACGGTATCAGTATGAAATTTCAAAAAATTCGATATTTCAGTATAATACCGTACTGATGTTATTTTTATAAAATAATTTAATTATTAATATAAATATTTTAAAATTATTAAAAAAAACTAAAAAAACCCTAATCCCATCCAAAGACGTCGTTACCTTCCCCTTGTTCTTCCCCCCCTCTCCCCAATAATATTTTCCCATTTTTTTTTTCTATTCCTTCATTTCTTCTTTTGTTTACTCCTTCATTTTGTTTCTTAGTCTTCTGGTTCTTCTCTTTCATTCTTAATTTTCTTTATTGGCCTCATGTTCTTCTTCTTTTTCTTTTTCTTCTTCTTCTTCTCCTTCTTGACTTTTGGCACGGTACTGTTATGTATTTTTGCATATCAAAAAGTTCAATACGGTATCAATATTGATCGGTATTTTCGGTACGGTACGCCATATCATCCATAGTGCCCACAAAGCTGGACTAGCCATGATGTGGATGATCATCCATTTTTGGTATTTTTGGCTCCGGATCTCCCAAGACTATGTGGACTAAGCCTGAAGATGTTCTGTTTGTCATCGCTATGGTCCCCTACGGCGAGTCCCGGTCGAGGAGCTGTATTCTATCATCAAATTGTAGCCCTCTAAAGGGTAGATGGTGGATATCCTCGGTAAAATCTATCCACCGTCATCCAAGAGGCACACCTTCATTTTTGTGGGAACATATTATTTTATAAAGTGGGTGAAAGTTATCTCGTTGGCCTAGGTGCAAAAGAACCAAGTCATCCGTTTTATTAAAATAATATTATCCATCGGTTTGCTATCCTAAAAGATGATCACGATCGATCAAGACATTGTATTTACAAACACTATGGTCAGAGCTTTCACAGTCTAATACAGAATTCATATAGTACATTCTCCCTCTTATTACCCTCAAACTAATGTACCAGTCAAGGCATGAACAAAATTCTAATTTCTATAATAAAAAATGTGGAGGACAACCCGAGAGGATAATAAGATACATTGGAGGAGGAAATTATGGGCTTATCAAAATGCCAAATTCTCAATAACCAGTAACACCCAGTACAAGCTCATGTATAGACAAGATATCGTGTTGCCATTGGAAATTACGGTGCCACTCCTCAGAATTTTGAAGCAAAGTGAAATTTCAATGGACAACATGATCTAGCTGCTCCAGAAGCTAGATTCCCTGACCGAGAATGATTACAAGCTTTGGAGAAAATCCGTCTCCAGAAGAAGAAGGCTGAGAAGACATTTTATCAAAGTGTGCAACCACAAGAATTTTGAGAAAGCTATATGGTTTGGAAAGCAGTCCTCTCAAAAGGCCCTAAAGACTCAAAGTTCTGAAAATAGTCCCCTAATTGGGAAAGGTCATATCGTCTCGGTTAAGTCATCTAAGGGTGCCTACAAACTAATAGAATCCTGAGGAGAGAAGTTGAAGATGTTTATCAACAAGACCCATATAAAAAGATTCTACCAATCTCTATGGGAGCTAATGGAGGACTCATGACATCGGCAAGTCAAAATAGATCTACAATGCATTCTCCCAACATTGGCTTATCATTGTCCAAAAATAAACTAGGAGACCTGTTGAAATTATTATGGATTGGATAAAAACCTAATCAATTGGTTCTAAGAAAGTTGTACATGGATCCATAAAATAATTATCTTGTGATGGCAGCGTCAGGCCAGGATCAGTTTGACGGAAACACATCTAAAATAAATCAAAAAGATCTAAGTATCATAATAAGTCTCCATTCATGCATCTTTAAGTCTCGATGTCATTTGATTTTCAGCACTTTAGTTTAGTTCTCTGCCAGGTCATCGCGATGGTTTCAATCCGAATCTATTGTATGTTGATTTTTAGTGCAAGATCAAGTTCAAATCTCTTTTTGAAGAGATCGAAAAACTCAATTAACATCAATTTCGATATGCTTAAATACGTTGGCCATTATCAATAATTTTTTGTAATAAAACAATATGTCTAATATTTTAATTAAATGCAACATCATAAATAAATTTATTGGGTCAATTTATTTGCTACTCCAATTTAATAAAAAATATTTATTTCTATTTAAGACCTTTTATTTCTAAGAATGAAAGTCTGAGAGTAATTTTGTGGAATTTATTTATTTTTTAATTTGAAAATTTGATTTTAACAATAATTTAATATAAAAATCATTTTTAATAAAAAAATAAAATTAAACTTAGAGTAGAAATTGTTTATTTTTATTTAAGATTATTTATTTCTAAGAATGAAGTTTTGGGAGTGCTTTGGTGGAATTTATTTATTTTTTAATCTGAAAGTTTAATTTTAACAATAATTTAATATAAAAAATTAATTTTTAATAAAAAATAAAAATTAAACTTAGGGTGTTTTGTCTGAGGTTTGGATTTTGAGTTGAAATTTAAATAATAAAAATTTTGAATTAAAATAATTATATGATATGATATAAATATATGTTATGTGATTTTTTAATGTAATCTTTATTTTTTTAATATAATATAAAACATAAAAAATATATTTTTATTTTTATTTTTAAAAAAAATATTGATGAATAGTAAAAATATGTGAAAAATGCTCCGAACAAACACACCCTTAGAAGAATAAAGCATTTTGATTCAAACGGGGCAAATCGAAATAATCACAAAATACTGGTGTCAATTTAATAATTAGAAAGTTGGCAATCAGACACTGAACGCTTTGGAATCGTAGGCCGGTAGAGAAAGTCTTCACCATCTCACAGCTATGGCGAGCTTCGCATGGACGGGGATGCCACGTCCAAGCTTTGCATCTCTTCACGCCGATTCCATGCCCTCAAAGTGTCTCCTGCACCTCCGGAACCTCCCTTACAACCGTAGCTCCGTCCGTCGTGCCGGAATTTGTTGCAGCTCCAACGGCGGTTCCGAACAAACTAATCGTGAGCAAACGACGGGAATTCAGCTTTACAGGGATATCGAGAGGTCTGAATCTGAACCTAAACCTACTACTTTGATCCTTTTTATTGTTTTTATTACAGAAAATCGCGGATACAGTTTTGCCAAGCGGCTAGACTGTGCGTCGATTGCTAGGAAACTACTAGAATTGTTACAGAGAATAAAACAAATGCTGTTTCTTTGTTTTTTTCTTTTTGATAGATCAGTAAATAAGTAGAGTTGGAAATGATTTTTCCGTCTAAAAGATATTAAGCAATGATGTATTATTCTTCTTATCGTGTATAGATTTTGTTGTTGGTAAGTTGCATCGCAATATTTCAGGAATACATTGGATTTTGCTACTACCTATGGAAACAGCTTCGTGAAAGAGTCCAGAAAACCAAATGATCATTGTTAAATATGTGTGTGTATGGATCTCAGCTTGTTTTCATTTTATTGACTGATGAGAATGATGATAATTGATCTTTGAGACAAGCCTCAGCCTATAGTGTTCATATTAATGCAAAAAGTTTCCGCATCAATCCTAAGTGTGGCATTAAGTTTGTGCACAAACTTGCTGCTACTTAACAGTTATATTTGGAAAGTAGCTTTAGCATTTCCCATCAGCATTTGCACGACTCCTCCAATGTAATTTTCTTTCTTCGACCAAATATGCTGATTGTGCATTCTGTCCATGCTCATGGTAGTGTGAAAAGGGTTCCAAGGAACAGGAGAATAAAATTGTTGCCAAACAATCAATAATATTGTTACTGCTTTTATCTAGCATGTTCAGACATGTTTTCTGTTCGGCTGTATTTATAAATTCTTACTGCAGCTGCAATCTGATCGCATTTTTCATCACTCTATGCATTATGTGCCTTCACTCAATGGTATAGAAGGCTTTTATATATTTCAAATTTGTAATATTTCATCTAAGCTTCCAAATAATTAAACAACTCAATACAGACATAAAACAATTCTTCCTGTTTAGTCCATATGACTGGTGTAATATAAGTTTGGATTAAATCTTGTTAATGGGATGGTTCTTTTGCAGAGTACTTACAGAGACTGTGCGACAGTCTCAAGCTAGTTGGAGTGGCTCAGGAGACTGGAATGAAATAGAGGTATACACTGGTTTGACTGGCTCGATGTCTTGCGGATTTGGTTTAAGATGACAACTATGGAGCTTTTCATTGTAGGTTGCAGCTTATACCCATATAGGAAGCTGTACATTTTACACATTATAATAATTTTTTTTTTCATCAGTCCGTTTGTTATTTACACACCAAAACTATTCTAGATTATTATCATTAATATAAATAGAATTCATTCCATAAATAAATTTTACTGTATGTTAAGAATAGAGTTAGTCTAAGCTTATAAACAGTGGTTAAGTTTTTTCAATGTATCTATAAGTTTTTTTAATGTATCTATAAGTTTTAGTTGGAACATAGATTTCTAATAGAGTGCAAATATTTTAGGGAGCATGGGTCTTGCGGCCAAAAAATGAGTTAACGTCAATTGTACATTTTGTTGGTGGGATATTTGTGGGGGCTGCTCCACAACTTACTTACCGCTTGTTCCTTGAACGTCTTGCAGATAAGTAAGTTTCTTATTTGACAAAATGAAGTTCATTATCTAATCTAATTTATAACTATATGTACAAGGACCATTTTACAATTCTCTGGCATGTTATGTTATATGCTTGTTGTGTCTTTCTTATATGGAATATTTGAAGCTGTGTCATTCCGATGTTCATTAAATCAAATTGCTTGATTGTGGTTTGAAATTGATTTCAAATAGAGCGTTGGTTTGAGTTTTTGTTTAAATAGTATTGTGATATAATATTTTTTGAAATGAAGTAGTGTATTTTTATTTGGAAACATGCGGAGTGAATAGTAGTGATTGGGTTTCAAATCACAACCAGAAACAATCTGACTTCTTATTTTTCTTTAATATATTTAATTCTGCAACTTTAATTTTTCTGATGCGTTTTCTATTGGAATAACATTCTTTTGATATTGGGTTGAGTTTAGATATGCTTTGGAGTTTTGGGTTGATTTGGGAATTGTTGGTATGAAATTTTGTTTGATGTATCGGAGATCCGCAAAATGATCAAACAACCAACTTGTGCATGTGTGGCTGCTAATTTGTTCATGCTGGCTGCCGATGTGGAATGTTTTACCACATCTTTTCTGAGATGGAAAAAGTTGGATAAAAAGACAATTGGAAACCTGTTTGTTTTATTGGCAAAAAGTACAAGAGAAATTGGCTAGCATTGATATGGAAAGTCAAAAGGCGATGAAGAAAAATGAAAGGAGACTTATCCGTTTTGGATCTGTAGAAAGATCAGACAACCAATCAGCTGAATGCAAGACTGCAATTTGCTTGAGTTCATGGTTCAAGGTCTAATGTTCTGGTCATTGAAAAAGCTTTAAAGTGAGACAAAATATATATCTCGCTGTCCTATTTCATACAAAGACAAAAGTGTTTTGTTCCACGAGATTGCATACAGAAGGAAGGTCAAAAATAAAGGAATAAAAAGGTTTCCAACACCCATTACCGAAAAAGGTAATATTTGACTATCTCTTCCTTCTAGGCATTTATGTGGAGTTTGACATATCAATTTCGTCCCATATGCATAGATACGTGTCATGAGAAGTGTCTTGGCATATTTGACTATTTTGAGTCCATTTGTTGTCAAATGTTGATCGGAAGAAATGGGTTTGTGTATGTGTATATATACACTTTCCATGGAATTGTGGAAATGGGGCTTTTCACAATTTTTTGAGAGAAAATTCTGAGATCTTTCAAGTGCTTAGTGTAGAGTGAGAGCTTGAAGAGTTCTACTTTTTTCATATCGAAAGGAAAGTCCAAATCCCATGGTATAATAGTTGAGTTTCACTTCTAGTTGAGGGAGAGTGTTCTCTTTTATTTTGAGGGATTTTTGTGGGAAATTAGACCATATTTTGAGTAGAAAAATCTGGGAGGATTTTTATCTATTACATTGGGTCTGAACCTTGTCGAAGTTGCTGGAGATTTGAAGCTCAAATCACATCCCGAAGGAATCACAGCAGTCTGCTGTGTCGACAAACTGCCGAGTGTTTGTTTGGTTCAAAGGAGATTCCAAGGAGAGTTGAAGGAGAAGGAGGTGACAAGCTGCCTATAACGACGTCCGATCTCAGAGCACAACCAATGGAGGTCGAGGCCTTGCATGCTTGCCTTTGCGAAGGAAGATGCGCTTGTATATGGTAAGGAAACCAATACATTTAAGTTGAGTTTGTGGTTGTTGATTTGTGGAGTGTGTGTGAGGAGTTTTTGTATCTAGTTCCTGCCTTACTCATACTGGAATTGCCCTGGGTTGGTACCCTCCAGACATAGGCCGGTTGAGGGCCAAACTGGGTCAACAACTTCGGTGTGTTGTTTGTTTCAATTCACTCTGCACTACACTTCTTGTTGCTTGTTGCTTGTTGCTTGTTTGTTGTTCGAATCTCAATCGTACAACATCTCTAAGAACACAACAAACCTTTTGAGTTTGCATTCCCTTCCGCTACATCGTTTAAAAGTGATCAGGATTGGAGTTTAAGGTGTAGAAATACATCTAGCGGAACCGTCAATTGGTATCAGAGCCAACCTTTCAAAAGACTAACGAAAAGGGATCCACTCAAGGATATCAAAGGACGGAAGCTCGACATCAAGACCACCACTGCTGAACGGATCAAACTACTGCTACTGGAAGATGAAAATAAAGGTATACATTATGTCTATCAGTGACGAAACTTGGGATTCAGTTGAACTTGGATGGACACCACCTATGAAGCCCGTCGAGGCTGTCGAAGCTTTTGAAGGAGAAGTTGCTCGAGCTCCAGCTCAACTTGTTCCAAAACTGAAGTTGCAGTACACTACTGAAGAAAATGAAATGAGCAATGCCAACTCTAGAGCATTGAATACGATATTCAATAGTGTTGGTGAATCTCTGTTCAGAATCATCTCAACATGCACAACTGCAAAAACTGCATGGGATGCTTTGCTGGTGACATTTGAAGGTTTAGACAATGTTCGAGATACTAAACTACAAATGGTGGAAAGTCCGTTTGATGGTCTGAAAATGAAGAATGATGAAATCGTGTTCGACTACAACAATGGATTCAAAGACATCATCAACCAAGCTCATATGCTTGGCTTAGTCTATGATGAAAGGAAGCTTTGTCAACAAAATGCTGAGGACGATCACAAGCAGGTTTGCACCAAAGGTTGCTGCGTTAGAAGAGATGGAGAAAATCAAAACAATGTCGCTTGACGGACTAATTGGAATCTTGAAAACATACGAACTAAACCATTTGAAACTAAAGCCAAACAAAAGACTTGCCCTAACAACCGAAGATGTTGACCCTAAAAAATGAAGAAGAAGAGGAGGTCTCTTATCTCCAAAAGGATTTCCAGAATTCTAGCAAATCAGGCAGAAAAGTGTTCAGACAGGTGATCAACAGAGGGTTCGAACAACCAACAAACCACCTCCACAAAATGAGCTAAAACATAATTTTCATAAGAAACCTGCTGTCTTTAAGACTGAATTGAAAAAAAAATCTCAAGTTCCTCAGAAGCCGAATGTCTCAGACAACGTGACGTGCTTTGGTAACAATGGATGCAAGCACCTGAAATCCGAATGCCCTACGACATTGAGAAAAGAAAGTAAGGTCATAGGAGTAAGTCTCAGTGATGAAGAAGAAGAGGATGACCATTATGAGTCACTTGATAGAGATGAAGAAGAGATTGTAGCCTTTACGATTAAAGCCAAAACTGAGGTTGGCTCCAGTATTAATTATGAAAATCTCATTGAAATGGATTGTGATGAAATTGTGAAAAAATACAAAGAGATGGTGAAGGAGCATAAGATGTTGATCTCCATAAACGAAAGATTGAATGATCGTGTTGAGGAACTCGATGCCTGGAACAACGCTCTCATTGATGAGAACCACAATCTGAAAGGAGAAAATGATCGACTTGTTGATGAAAATGCAATGCTGAATCAACAGATCAAGGAAGCCATTGAAAAGATTGTCGCTTTGGAAGTAACTAATGGAAATCTACTGGATGAAAACACTTCGTATGAGAAAAGGAAAAGAGAAGCTCGATGAAGTTGTTTCTATCGGCAAACCATTTGGTGATCATTATGGAGTTGGATACAAACATGGCATGGGAAATAATCAGACTGTTTTTGTGAAAGGTGGATTACTAGATGAATCAACAAAAGATGATCCACCGCATCCTTCCAACAAGCAAAAAGGAAGAAACAGGAGAAAGAAAGGAGGCAGACAGACGTCCAGACAACCAGTGAACTGCAATTATTGTGGAACTGTTGGACACAGAGCTGATCAATGCAGACAAATCATTCGTGATCTTCTTTAAGGAGAGCAGATTTCTTAGCCCACATATGAGATGAAAAGAAAAGTCAACATCAGATTTGAATGGAGGCCCAAGACGTTAACAAATGTGTGCAATGTTGCTCTATCCACTACTCGTTGGGATGAAGGGAAAACTTGGTATTTCGACAGTGGATGCTCGAGACACATGACAAATCAAAGAGATCACCTCTCTAATTTCCAGGAAGCTGACTGTGGACATGTGATTTATGGAGATAGAGTCAAGGGAAGGATTACTATTTACTAGATATGGTGCTTTACAAGTTGATGGACTGCCCAACTTGTCAAAAGTTTTCTTGGTGGAAAATCTCAACATCAATATTATAAGTATCAGCCAGCTCTGTGATGAAGGTTTGAAGGCAAACTTTACCAAAAGTTTCCTATGAAGTTTATGATGGAAATCGACAAATTATGGCTGGATCTCGGTCAAAGAACAATTGCTACATCTTGAAAAGAAGGTGCGAGTTGCATTCATGACTAGGAAGGAAGAGCTATCTTTTTGGCATTCTTTGGTATTCTAGACTTGGGCATGTCAATGTGCAAAATCTTCGAGGACTGCCTAAATTATCCAAAGAAGAAAAGTTATCTTGTCCAGGCTGTTGCATTGGAAAGCAAAACAGGGGAGTTCATAGACTGACCGAACAACGTGCTACAGACAGATGCTTGGAACTACTGCACATGGATTTAATGGGGCCAACCGAAGTCGAAAACATTGTTGGCAAGAAGTACATCCTTCTTGTTCATGATTTCTCCAAATTCGCTTTGGTCAATTTTCTTAGAGAAAATAGTGACACCTTCGAAGCATTCGAGGAAGTGTGCAATCAGATATCAAATGAAAAGCAATCTGCAGTAGCAAGGATAAGTAGCGAACATGGTAGGGAATTCGAGAATAATTTTTTTGATGCTTATTGCAGCAAGTATGGGATCTTTCATGAGTTCTCAGCTCTAAAGACACCAAGTGGAGAGGAAGAATACAACGTTTCAAGAGATGGCTAGAACCATGTGATATGGAACAACCGCCAAGCACCGGAAACAATGGCCCGTTACCGTTGCGTGTCTATACACGACGCTGAAAAGGTTATTTTGGTCTAATCGTTGCATTACCATAATTACTATATATTTGCATTGCAAATTAGTCCTTTATCTTATTTATAATTAGATTTATAAGTTAATATAAATA